TTATTACAGACAAGTCTCTAAATTATTACAGTGTTAATAGTGGAAAATTTGCAGCAACGTCTGTGGAGCATATCCATATTTTAAGCACTGCTTTCCCTTGCAATTAAATAATTGTGATATCTTGCACAAAGTACAACACTGACAAATAGCCTTTTTCCATCGAATTCTTACTTTAGGTTCTTTCCTTCGCTTTTGTATTTATCCATCAAAGGAGAGAAAAGGCTTTTGGAACTGTACATGAGGTCTTCTGCATAAATTTACATATTATTTTTATCAACCAAATACAAAGTGAGAAAGTTAAATCAAAGAAGTGCATAAAGGAGTAATTACTATTCATTTTGTCAACTATAATTATAATTTTTATGATAGATTTTGAAAATTTGCTGCCTGTTAAGTAAAGCTCTGTATTTTGCATGAGAACTGTTATTAATCTAAAAAGGAACATATTTCTAGGCTTTAAAATTATAGTAATTCATTTTGGAAATATAGAAAATAAACAGCATGAAAGTTTTATTTTGACTGGGGGAATTTTAAAAATAGTGATTTTTTATTCCATTAGTAGTATTAGTAGTTGTTGTTTTTAGAAAGAAAGATGAAGGTTAGTGTAGTATCCACGCTGAGATAATTTCTGTTGCACAATACAATAAATTACACTATGTAACCAGTGTTAAAAGTTTTTCTTAATCCTTAATCTGTGATACTGTTTTCTAAATAGCATTTGCTTAGCCTATTTAAAACTTCAAAATAAGTCTAAAGGGAAAGTAGAAAAAATGTTTGAAATACCTATTTGCTTGAGAGATTAGAGTGTTAGAATGCATACTATTGAAAATGAAAGCATTCATATGCATCATTTCTGCTTCATTCAATTATAATTACCAAAGTTTTATCAGATATTTCAGTATAAATATGGTTCAGAGTCATTTGATGGTATTAATCTCATATGAGAGAATACTTCAAGTAGGTGGATTTGTCTTTTAATTATTAGGGTGGAATGCACTCATTTTCTTTGGATCTCCTGCTGACCTTTTTATCACTTTGTGGATTAGACTGTTAAGCTGCACTCCTCAAAGCACTAATGACATTGTAGTAGTGATGGACTTTGAGAATCTTGATGTAATGAAAAAAAACTGTTTTGAGAAATATTACAGTGTGATGGTCAATTTATCAAAATTTTATTCAAACATGATTTGAAAAGAGGATCTCTTATTTTACTTAAGCGACTTGCTAAGAATATTTACTTATAGTGCTGTGAGATTGCAACAGAATGTGTTATTTTTTTAATGTTTTTTCATGTCAAAGGGGGTTTTGTAACTTGAAATGCTTTTTTCATATTGTTTCTTAGTGATCTATCGTAGTTGAATAGTATTTCATTGATTAGAACGCTTTCTCATTCAGTGGGTTGAAAATTAATAAGACAGATATTTTCTTCTTTAAGCAGGACAATACCATACTTACTCTTTATTGTTGGCATAAACCATTATTTTGCTAAGAGTGATTAGCTATTTAAAACTTGGTACATAAATTAAAGAGGAGTTAAATGGATATGTGATTGTTGCCATTAGTAGCATTTTAGATTATGCAGGCCATTATTGCATTCATTATCCTAGAACAGCCCCTTTATAAAACTGTTGTGGTTGTCTTCAACATTATGTACAAATTTTCCCTGGGAAATCAAAATTTCTAGTGGCATATTTAATTTTGTCATCACAGTTGTTTGAAACAAAGCAAATATTATGATCAGAAGAAAAAAATGTTCTCTTGATACTGAAAATTACAATAAATGCTAAGAATATTCAGAATTAAATTTAAATTAAATTTATCTATTTTCTAATGAAGGCATTTATTTGCTTAAGGTATTTTTAAACAGTATAATAGCTTTTCATAGTCATTAAAAGATAAATGCCTTCTCAATTACAAGAAAATATAAGCGACTCAGACAAATAACAGCTTACAACGTGTAACAGATTTGTTTTATTTATTTTTGCTTTTGAGATGTATTGAACAACATACAGAAATAATAAGGTACAGAGATAGATATGTGTATGGCAGGAAGGTTTTCATGCATGGCCAACCATTTAGCTAAATGGACAAATTTACTTGGAGTACCTGTGAAAGTATTTACCTTTAAAACTTTCTATATTTGTGTTAAAAGTTGTTTAGACTTATTAAACAGATTTTGAACTTGCATCCAAATCAGTCTCCTTCAGTTAGGAAAGTTTTTGTCACTTTAGTTGTCTACATATGTGAATCCAGCAAGACGATGTATAATGTTTGGACCTATAAATGCTATTTCTCAATGGAAACTTTGTATTCGTTTCTGTCAGGTTTTGTCTTGGCTTTTACAGTCTTTCAGTGCTATGATGCAGCAAGAAAAGTGTGAGGTACTGGTTATGCATATTGCTAGACAGTGATTCTTTATTTTATTACAAAAAAAGACCAACTCTAGAAGGCCAGATTAAATCATTCCTTTCACTTTTTAATGGGATTTGGATGAATAGAGTAAAATATGCACTTTGCATTCATTGATAGCATCTTTAGGTTGAGGTAATTGAGTCTTTTTTCCCTGACTGAATGAATAATGACTTCATCTGATCCTCAGCGAGGCCTGAAACTTAGACTGCCTTTGTCAATGCAAAAAGATCTGGGCTTTGAAACATGCTCTACTTCCCTGGCTTAATTTTTCTTCATTTTAATCCAGAAACCTATTTTTCTCAATAATTCAAGCATAAACTATGTAGTAGTTGAAGCAGCGGAAATTGCAAGATATTTGTCCTCGTTGTGCTGCTTTTTAAATGTAGCTGATAAATCAGCCACTGTGGTCTTCAGCTGCCTAGTTCTCAAGGGAAGGGACAGCCCATATACAAGCAAGAATGCCGGGATTTTAAAAAAGTATTTTAAATATTATTCTTATACAAATTGTTTCTTCTGTTGAACTATTATGCCATATAAGTCTTTCTGACAGAAGCTATAGCATTTCTCTGACCATGGATGGTTCCCTGGCATGTTTGACTACTGTTCTTGCACTAGTGTAAGCCTTTGGCATTAGAATATAAGTATTTGGAATGTGGTTGTTGAAAGGTCTTGTGACAAATTCTTTTCCCCTCATCCTTCACTTTTAATTTTTGAATCCTGTAAGTTTGGTTCAAACTACATTGGTTGAATGTGAGCCCACTTGTTCCATTGGGAACCAACTTGTGGCTAACTAGTCTCATCAATTTCATTAACCATGTTCACCTATCTTAATCTGGATCCAACTCGATATATCTTATTCAGATAATTTTGACTCTTACTCAAGTTATGATTCATGTTAATACAAGTGGGTTAAGAAAAGAATCAGTATGAACTTAAAGAATATCAGCTTTAGTGCTCATTCACATTTAATACATTTCTTGATCATTTATGAGAAAAATAACTGTGAATAACTTTGCTGTATTTTGGATTTACATTAGCACTTTATTTCCCTTAAGTAATATAACATGATCAGGGATAGCTGAAGGAAAGACTGAGAAGGTCAAAACTAGTGAATTGTTTGCAGGGGCTTAGACATGTTTAAATTCAGAGGAAATCACAACCTTTGAACAGGGGAAATTGCCTAACTATAAATCAAATGCAAAATTTGATATGGAATTTCAGTGCTAATTAAGCTTGACTGCAATTTTTTATTCTCTTTATAATATATTATACTTTGCCTCCTTTAGTAGGAGGCTAAATCCATAGTTACGTAGACAGCAGATCCATGGCAATGAAAATAAGGCACAAACTTCTAATTTCTAGAATACAGTCATCATTCATTAATAAATAAAGGCTGTTAAAAAGATGTCTGAAAATTTGTTGGCCAAACCTCCTTGAAATCTCAGAAGTATCAGTGGGGTGGGGTACTGCAAAAGCTTTAACATATTCAAGACCAAGGATGTCTCTCAGCCTTTCTCTGGGACCAGCAAAACCAAAAAAGTATAAGTTGCTTAACATATTATGTAAGGGAAACCTGTACAAATTCATTTTATTTAAATAAATTATGCAAAATACAAAATTTAGCTTTTCTTGTCAAAGAATATGGATTGCCTTATCACAGAATGTTAACCCTTATAATATATTGTATGCATGGCCTTGGCCAAAACCAATTCCTTTTCCTTGTGATTGATAAATTGGTGTATTGGGCACAGTTGGTCTTCTTTGTAATACCTCTGCACTCACCATAAACCAGTGATGTCCCTTTGCTGTGACTCATACTGAGAGAAAACCCAGATTATGTAAGATTCATTAAAGCTACTGATGAAATAGTGTTGTTGGGAGATACCTGTTACAAGGGATTATTTCCTTGGAGATCATCAGTTTATGAAGAGCAGCTATTCACAGTGATCAACAAAATTACTAGTTGATAGTTTCCTCTTATCAAGAGGTCCTCTCCACCATTATTTATAAAAATTGCTTCATGAGCAAAATGAATTTCTTAAACAAATATTGCCTCCACATAGGCAATTCCATGTGTGGCTACACTTACACAATGAAGTACAGGCAATGTACATACCTGCAAATGAAAGCAGAATTGCCACTATACGCATTGCAAAAGCTACATTCATGTTCATTGTTGCATAAGTATGCATGAACAATACTGCGTGGCATTTTCTGCATGCAGGTGATTCATCATGTGTAAGGTACCCTAAGAAGTTACGGTTTTAGAATGAGTTAAAGCTCAAAAACAATCCATGGTCATAGAGCAGTTGTTTTGGCACAGTTTGTTTATCTCAAAGGCCCTCTAAGCTGATTACAATCCGTTTTTTGACCCAACCTTGATTTGTGACCTAAAAACTATAGCAGCTGTTTGTCAGATTTATGGTAAATTAGGAAAGAATGAGCCCTTCTTATTTAACTTTCAGGTAAGCTGAGGAAAGCAAAATTAGCAATGAATTTTTTTAAAAAATATATATACTGTATATAAATATGAAAAAGTAGAAATGTCTGTTTATTCTTAATATCTGAATTCGTATTGTTTCCTTTAGGTTGGTTTGCTGGACCTTGAACTGAATCAGCTGACCAAAGCACTGTTCTTGGCTTTAGTTGCACTTTCAATTGTTATGGTCACTTTGCAAGGATTTGTGGGGCCGTGGTACCGCAACCTGTTTCGGTTTCTCCTCCTTTTTTCTTACATAATCCCAATCAGGTATGTATAAGAAAGAGACTAAAGCCTAGATGTTTAATTTCAGTGAATGGGGGGGAGTATTTTTTTAATATATCTTCAGTTCTCATTGTAAAAAAAAATTGATCTTATCAAGAAACAGTATCGTGAAAACAAATCTGCTAATTCTGAAGGGATCACTTACAAAAAACAAGTGCTATTGTCCTTTCTGAAATACAAACATACAAATATTTCACTTCCTTTATTGTATTTTAAAAGTTGCAATCTTTATTAGAAAATATTCTCTCTGAAAAACTGTTGTTGAAAGGCTATTTTTAATTTTGGTTTGCATTTTTTTTTTCTTATTTATATCATAAATCAGTTGTTTTAATCTTTGTGGGATCATTTTTTCTCTTCTGTACTTGTAAAAAAGGTTATTTCAGGTTGTGCTAGAGTATGTGACCTAATACAATGACTGGACTTATGTAACGCAATTATTTGTAGGTTGTTGCAAGCCACCACCACAACCTATGAGAAAGCCCTTTTTTAGAGGGACCCAGACTTCTGAAATTCAGTTTCCCTTAAAAAAAAAAAGCAGGGGATACATCTTTGTACCTTCTAAAGCAGCTGGCAGCTTGAAAAAGTTCACTGTGTGGGCCAACATGTGAACTAGCTGGGCTGTCATGTAAATAAATAAAACCTTGTTTTTGCAGGTTTTAAAAAAGATTCTAAAATACCCTCTGGTAGATCACTGAACCCCTTTGAACAGAGATTGGCAAAGTCAGCTTTCGAAAACTCCAGAGGAAAAAATGGAGGAAAGCAAAACTTGGTGGGGGTCACTTGTGGGAGGCAAGTTGGTCCTCCCACAGTTCCTCTCGGATATTCTCAGGAAGATTGGGAGGAAGGAAAGCGAGTAAAGTGAACAACTAACAATGAAATCTCATTTGTCTGTCAGATTCACTGTAGGTTCTTTTACCCACAGCCAAACCACCATGGATTATTGCTAGGGTGTTTACAATGTCTTGAAATAGTTCAAAACAAAGGAATAAAGAAATACTATGGCTACTGTAGCATTTATAAAATACTTTTAATGTACTTTAAAAGTAGTTTCTGAATATTTCTAGTGTGCAGTTAAAGAAAAATGTTGACACTGCTGCACATTCAAAGAATAAAGGGATTAGTTACCCTGAACAGCACTCAGTTTGTATGGCTTTTAATTTATTTTACCATGTACTGATTCACTGTAAAAAGAGTCTTTTTTCATAAGAGAAGAAGCTAAAATGCATTATGACATTATTGTGGCAGGCAGAAATGGATAGGATGAAGGCAGACTGACATTGCAAAGAACAGTAGAAGGGAATTTATTTGTAAAGAGAATTCTTTCTTTCTTCCTTCAGAAACATTCTTCTTACCTGTATACTTGATTTTAAAAAATGCAGATCAAACTAATGTTAAAAGTAATGATAGCAAATAACTAAGTGGATTTTGACAGTTTGTTTTTAATCGATTAATCTTTCAATCAGATTTAATTAAAATTTACATGTTGAAAAGCAATAGTTTCCTAAGACCACTTTCAGTTTAATAGCAAAACCACCCTTACTGCTAGAAGTCAGGCATATTTTAAAACTGTTTTTCATTGTTTGAAAATATAGTATTCTGTCAGTCCGGTTCTGAACTTTTGTGTCTATGTGGGGACACTGAAATAAGTCAATATCACCAAAATATCCATGACAATAAAGGGTGTTGTAAAGGCCAGCTATCGGCACATTAGATGCTGGACTGTAAGACAACCTTCTTCTATACAATCTTCTTCTGATACATAATTTAGTACTGACTTCAAATGATTTTTCTCTCTGTTACCCACTGGTGCTATTATTTAAAAAATTAAACCAGTTTTTCATATAAATTTGAAAGGAAAGTATATTTTCATTAAATATGAAGAAAGAAAGATGGACGAAAATGGTACAAAACCTCTTTTAGCCCTTGGACTGCTTTCCACTTTGAAAGCCACCATTCCAATGGTGGGTAAATCTGAAGTCACAAGCTAAAAATACAGCAAGTTTTAGCTAATATCTGTGCATTTGTTGTAGCTAATAACTGTGCATTAGGAAAGTCATTTCTACCCTTTAGAATTATTTAAAAACTATAAAGCTGTGAAACCGCCATAGTGATGCCCCTCCTTTAAGGAATTTCTGAAAAACCACCTTCACCTATGTGAACACAAGTTGACTTCCTAGCATGTCTTACGTCTGAGATACAGTGGTAATGACCAGAAAGAAGAAACTTTTCAGCTGTGTTAGCCTATTGCTTGTATGCTTTCCACAGGGAAAATGCTCTCTTGGAACCAGGCAAAGACCTTTTAAAAATGTAGCCCCTTTGAAATATTTTTAATTGATATTATGTTTTTAGTTCATTTGCTGCTTTGCTATCCTTATTATTCACTTGATATTATAGTGCACTTTAACATTCTATGAGTTTCTGGGTTTTCCTGCTCCAGATCCAGCAGGAGCATCCCCTGAAGGGAATTCCACTCAGAACCTTGCAGTGGCATAAAGTGTTGGGGGGAATGGAATTTTTGCCAATCCTATCCTTTGTCTACAGCCAGTCACAGCACCTTCTCTACTGATCCAGATGGTCTCCCATCCTCAAAAGCAGAATTTATGGGGTTATAAGGGACTGCAGATGGGAAGGAGAATTACTGAAGATCATTTTCTCCTGAAAGTGGAAATATCCCCTGACTCAGAAGCCTTTTGTAGATGGAAGGAAGCCTTCATAAGAGACTTCAGCTTAATCCATTATTTCTACCAATGTACTATATGCAAGTCATTCATGAAGTAGAAATATTGAATGGCTTTCTTTTTTATGCATGAGTATCTGTTAAATCTGTCCCTTGCATTAGAAACTTACTTTGGCCTCTTCTGTGAAACTTGAATAAACAGTTTCACCCTTCAAGGGTTAAAACCTTCAAGAAGCAATTACTACTAAACTCTGCTGATTGATATACTTGCTGAAAGCTTACATATTTGCATTAAAAAGGGTATACCAAAACTGATGTAGAAATTTCTAGGTTTGTGCCTGTCAAGTCAGAATCCTGGATTGAAATCTTTATACTGATTTATATAACCTTTTGTGTAAATGAATCTGTTTAAAGGTTAGCAACATTTCTGTTTAAAAAGGAAGAGAGAGTGCGACAGTTACAGCATCATGAAACAGAGTGAACATAAGATTAAAATTAATAGATTCTTTCTTCAGGAAACTTTCTGAAGTTGATAACTATTCAGTTTCTCTGATCACATCCATACCATTTGAATAGTTTTATATAATATATTCTTTTCTCAGTTCATTAGAAGGTAACATAACTGAAGAAAAGTCTTTGTTCTGTTTCAGATTGCTTTCTTTGTAGAAACATTACTTTGTATTTAACTTACTTCTGCAAAGGACATATAAATGATTGATGTCTTTCTAAAAGATAAGTCCCAAAACTATAATAAATGCTAAGATTTTGTATAGAGCTTGTTGCCTTTTACCACTTTGTACTAATTAATCCCTCTGTATGTGATACACACACACACATACCCCTCATATATCTTTCTATATATCTATATATATATATCTATATATCTATCTATCTATCTATCTATCTATCTATCTATCTATCTATATATATATGAGGGTTCTTCAAAAAGTTTCCACCCTTTTTAAAACTCTTATTTATTAAGAATTTCAAAAACAAATTACATCACTTTTCTACATAGTCATCTTTCTTTGCCATACATATTTCCCAGTGTTGTACCAACTTTTTAATACCATCAGCAATATTGTGAAAACTTTTGAAGACCCCTTGCATACACACACACACATCACATATATGTGATACAGACATACACACAGTGTGTGTGTGTGTGTTTGTGTGTCTGCATTCTTATAAGTCAATGTGTATACCTTTGTGCTGATACTTTATAGATTTACTCTGGTCTTGTTTCCAGTTTCTTAAAAATCCACATACCAAATGCATCAGAAGACCAGCTGCAAACATTATATCCCTGGTTGTATCACTTTATTACATTTTATATGATACAATGGCCAAAGATCTCTTGGTAGTTTTATGAAAATATCAAACAATTCTGTAAAGTTAAAGTAAAGATTTCATTATCGCAAAGCCCAAATTCTGAAATTGAATCATTGGGCACATTTTACATGGGCAGAATTAGAAATTCTTGCTTCCTTTTTGGCACAGTTTGGATACAAAAGGAAACCAAGTTCAGGAACAAGCTACTGGATCATGGGTACTCTGCCTATTACATGAAAATGCTGTGCCAAAGAGGTCCCCCCCAACCCAACCCAACCCAACCCAGGAATTATACATGCACATTCTTTCTATATCAACATAAGTTTCAATACAAATATGTACGCTTGGAGTTACGGATTTTAGAGCCTGGATTCTCAAGAGCCTGCCAGCCTTGACTTCAATTAAAGCTGGCAATATTCCAACTTTATATTTCAGATTGTGCTTATGATGGATGGCTTCTTTTGCAATTGTATCTTACTAGGTAATTCAAGTTCGATAATAGCCTGAAGATATATGCTCCAAGTTCATGAATACTTCTTGTAACCAGGCTTTGTCTGTATTAGAATCTGAAAATACTGCTCTTTCTTGATATTTAAGGTTTCCTAATTATTTAGATTACTGTTACACTAATGTGAAGCCACAGTGATCACAAGAAGTTGGTAATTGTGTGTATGTAGGCAAGCAGCTAAGGATGTTTAATACACAGACCTTGAAATATTAGGCAATGTTAAGAAAAACATAGAAAATAAAATGAGTAAAGTTAGAAATAGTTCCCTATCCTCTACTTGTAATTCTTTTGCCACTACAGGTCAAAAATTTCTATTGGAGTTCCCCCAAGGAATTTTATTTGGGCTAAAGGCAGCTGGAAGTTATTGTGCATGACATTACAAAACTATTCTAAGTAAATCAACAGCTGAAAGGATACTATTAGCCCATCAGGAGATCAGCATTCTGCAAAGCTGGCAAGGTAGTGACTAACAGGATAATATAACATTATCTTAGGGCCTTTCCAGATGATTTTTTTAGCACAGTAATTGCACAGTTGAAAGTCTTGCGCAGGATCCTAGTATTTTTCTTCAAAGTTGCGCTTTCTCGGTGATATCTTATTTTCCCTGCATCCAGAGTGTGCTGTTTTATGGCTGAGAAAGTGCTTTTTTATGTTGCAAGCACTCTGAAAACATTCGCAGCAACATAGCATGAAGACAGAAATATTGTATATTAAAGAAAGGGCCCCTCAGGAGCACATTTTATAAAAGTCTAAGACTTGCTTCAAGAAAGATTAATGATGCGTGAAAACGTGCATTCAGTTTTCACATCTCTAACTGAACTCTTCAGATTAGGGCACCTATCACACAAAAATAACTTGTGTTATATGATATAACAGGGAAGGTATTTGGAAAATGCCTTCTTAACGTTTCATACTATTATCCTGAAATTGCTACAAGGTCATTCCTCCTTTTCTCAAAACTATAATTTTAAAATGCTATTACATATGTGCTACTTCTATTTCATTTAAAAAATGTCAGTTCAAAGAAGAAAGAACATTTTAAAGTATTATTTGTTAATAACTCATATTTGTCATGCTAGCAAATGATGATTTAATATAGTGCCATCAGGGTGCATGGTGTATTGTGGCATATAATTAGACAAGTCCCTCCCTCAAAAAGCTGGTAATCTAAAGCATAGAGGAAACACCAGAGGAAATGTGACAATGATGGGCAAGGGAAACAGGAATATATATTGTTTCAGTTATACATACTTCGGCCTTGGTTTATGGGAGTTTAAGGGGTTGTGCCAAAACCTTCATTTAAGAACTAAGGTATTAAAGGAAGTGGTGGCATCATACAACTGTTCTGGAATAGACTAGCAGAAGAGCAGGCTATTTAGAAGGAAAGGTTTCTAGTAGATGGACTTCTGGGGGTGGTAAAAATGGGGAAGCAAAGTTCACAGAAAGGGATGTGATGGGATAAGGAAGACAGTAGGTAAGGGTAATGGAATAAGGAAGGCGGTAAGGGTAAGGAATTTGTGTTTGATCCACAGGCAGAGGGAAGTTAGTGCAGGTTAGAAGAGGTATCACATGGTCAGAACAAGAAAAGATGAATTTTGGTGTTGTTTCTGTGTACATATGTGCAGCAGGCATGTGTATATGGAAACACCAAAAGAGGAATGTGTATCTACCTTTTATCAATGATATGACAAAATGTAAATTTAAAGGAGCATAGCACAAGCATATTCCAGTACAGAGATCTAGCATTTATATATAAATTATACATTGTTACATTATGACTAAGGAAAGATTAGATTCAATTCTTTTCGATGAATTATCTGACTTGCATCAAAATTCAGTAATTAAAGCATAGCTCATGCTTCAATTTTAATAAAGTTTCAAGCCATTTGTATAAAGTTCCAACAGAAAGGAATGTTTGTATATTGCCTATTTATAGGTTTCTCTGTAGCAGGTATTTTTTGTTTTCAATGATGATGATGCATTTATATGGCACCTATTTTCCTCTTGTAAGGAATCCAAAGCAGCTTATGTAGTTCCATTTTATCCTCACAGCAACAACCCTGTGAGGTCAGCTGAAGTTCTCAGACTGGCCCATAGTCACCCAGTGAGCTTCATGACTCAGGGAGACTCATGGCTCTGGATCTCCTGGGTTCCTAACCACTCTAACCACCACACTGATTCTCTCATGTTTTCTGTTTTCTGTCATTCAAGAGTGAAGTAGTTAAACTCAAGAGAGCATATATATATTTTCCAGTTTACGTGTGAACTTAGATATGGGCAAAGCAGCCTATGGATGGATGATAATGAAGGATGACAATATTCCTGGAACAGTTGTCCGGACCAGCACCATACCTGAAGAACTGGGACGTTTGGTATATCTACTGACGGATAAAACAGGTATATGTATAATTCTTTCCTGTTGCCCTGATTAGGCACCAAGTATAATAATTGTCATATTTGTAGCTGTTGATCAACTCCTGTTTCTTCAAGACCCAGGCAGAGAGATATATTCCAGATGTTTTTTTTACTAATCCCTCAAGTCATAGTCAGTGGTCAAGACTTATGGGAGTTGTTTTTCAAAACAGCTGGAGGACACCATGTTGTCTTTATTTCGTGTGAATTTATAATGCAGGTTCCAATAAAAACTGCAACTTGGAATGTTAACTCTTTCATATCTGTGTAGAAGGAAAACTGCAGCAAGTGCATATCATAGTACGTCAAAAATACTATGTTTGTACATTCATTCAGTCATTGCATTTATATACCACCCCAATAGCCCAAAGTGCTCTCTGGGTGGTTTACAAACATTAAAACCCCAAATACAATATCCAATTCTGAACAAATAGATTGGCTACACCACAACTGAGTATAAAATGACATGGTTAAAATGAATTAATTGAATAATTATACAATTAAAACAAACCAATTTTGTTACACACCAATTATATAGGTGTGTAACAAACCTATATAAAATAATTTAGATTGTTATTGTAACACTTCTTGGTATATGAATGGTTACAATTATTATTAATCTTCCTAAGATTACCATTCCTAAAATGATTACCATTTTACAGAGTAGAATCCAACAATGATGATAACTTCCCTAGGATTTGAACCAAATCTCCCATGTTCTTAGTCATTGCTATTCTGTATTCAGTTGGTATGAATAAAAATGAGGTCACAGGGAAAGAATCCTTGGATGGCTATGCTGTTAGCTATATCCAGATGTGTACCTTAGTGTTTCCACCTTAATTTGAAAGATACTTGGCTTCTGCAGTAATATATAACATTTCACCATTGAATCTGGATGTTTGATGTAAACTAAATTGTTGTTTGGTGTTCTGGTTTTTAGACCACCCAAGTTAATGATCTTTTGGTAGGGTTGTCCCACTTAATCACATATCAAAGGTAGGCTTCCTTATATTGAGAAGAGATATAGAATAAAGAAAATAACTTTTAAAAAAATCTTACACTGTGGCTCTAGTTTTCTTGAAATGATTAAGTATTATTTGTAGAGTCTAAGGAGCATTACATTACTAACATAATTGCAAGGTAGTTCTTTGTATGATTGTAAATTGGGTTTGTGCTTCATCAATAAGCTTTTTGACAAGAAGCGTCCATCACAGTGGCTCTCTCATTTGCCACAGCAGAATAGAAAATGAAGTATCCCAATAATTGCATTATAGTTTCCTTATTGTGGGACAAGAAAGCAATGTGGTATAATTAGGTTTGATTGGAGTGCATGTTTCCGGTAAGATCTGAAATTAATGATGTTGCTATAGTGACACATCTGCGGCCACCAGTGCGTGAAACATAAAGTAATTCATTCGACAAGAGAAGACATCTGTTAACTGCAAGGATGCAGAGCATATTGACACTGACCAGAAATACTAGACGTTATGTGATAAATGAACAAATGATGCTGAAACAGGAGGACAGATAATTTGTACTTAATCTGCTGGGAGAACTTTAATCTTCTCACTGGTTGCATTTGACAATACCATTGTTTAAAGAACAATGCTGCAGAGAACTCATAAATTTTAAAACTTAACTCAGGGTGCAGCCTATTAAAGCAATACATTAATTCCTTTGTTAGGGAGTTTTTATCTTCATGTAGAACAAAGCCATTACTAAAAACACCCACTAAAACAACAGGTTCTTTAGGACTCACATTTTAATTATAGCATCCATTACCCAAAATGCCAGGTTGTTTGGACTTGAATCACATATAAGTTTGACAGAAAGGCGTCATCCATTATTTGGGAGTGGGGGGGGGGAGAGAGGCAGTTTCCAGTGATTTCCAAGGGCAGCTAAGCGTGACATTTTAGTCTCTCTAGGGCATGATAAGTTCCAAATAATAAAGAGAAGAAACAAAAGATATTTGGCAATATTTATTGAATGTTTTTGACATCAAGAATGTGATACTGCAACTTCCCTGCCCTTTCTGACAGCAACCACACTATTCAATTATAACAAGTAAAAACCATCTTTCCAAGCACAGTTATTTACTAATGCATACACTTGAATTTGAGTGCTGTAATTAACATTTTAGCGGCTGTGTGGACCAAATGAGATACTTAACACATGCAATAGTTGAACAGATGCATAGAGTAATGGAATTCATAATCTTCTGGGAAGCCCTGTATTAGGAACTAATGTGTTAACACAGGAGGTTTGTGTTTAAAATTTATCTCGAGTTAACATATGCTAAGTATTGCATGAGAAAAAGTCGAGGTATTACTTTATGAGATTCATACAGACCACTCACTTATTATCTTGGATATCTGCAGTGGTAAAAATGGTTAATTGTCAATGGTGAATCATGTCCATTTCACCATGTTTTAGAAAGGCTTCATAATGCCATGACTGAAGTCTCCATACAGAGCAGATTAGAGAGGATGTGGGACAGGCCCTTCTTTGTGGTGGCTCTCCTATAGTGGAATTCCCAGAGGTGGTCCTTTCCTTGTTTAGATTTCAGCAGACCATTAATTTGTTTTGTTCTGTATTTTAAGTGATTTTAAATAAGCTGATAACAGCAAATTCATTTCTCCTGTTCTTAATTTTCCTGTGTGTGTAACATTTAAAGTTTTTAATTGTTTTAAAGTTCTAACTTATAAATAAGTTTGAAGGCTTTATTTGGGCCAAAAAGTGACTCAGAAATTATTTAATAAATACATAAACCCTGTGTGACTCAGTAGAGGAGATATTACTGAAATGAATTATTAAGTGTACTTTGCAAAACTACAGTAAGAGTATCCTTTTCTCTATTCATCATTTTAGCCATCTTTCCATCTACATTAGTAAAGTATCCAGTCATTACCTTGTAGAAAAGCATTACCTGTAATATTCTAAAACATCTTTTTGATCCAAATGCATATTGTTTGCAATATTAGTTCAAAGAAGTGGAATCTTTAGTCTATTGGATGGATGTGGCACATAAGATTTCCCATTTGGCACATCAGCTTTCCTGACACTAAAAAGCTCTTACTTACAGTGAGTTGCTGATTAAAAATTAATCAAAGGCAAAGGGAGTGAGGATTGAAGAAGAAGAAGAAGAAGAAGAAGAAGCAGTGTTATTTAGTCCTGCATGCTTCTGAGGCTTGTCCTTACTTGTGAGTAGACATAATAATCATGTTCACTTCTAAGTAGACATAAAGAAACCTGCTACCTGGATGCTTCAGATTAGGCTATGGTAATAATCAAATTTGGCCATTCGCACTTTGCCTTTGACAACTTGAAGATGCAACCAAGACCTTTTCAGTTTAGAATTCTGGTCTTAGGCAGGAAAATGATTGGGAGAAGGAAGGAAGGAAGTAAAGAGAAGTAGTGAACAATATAACAATACATTCCTGATTCTTTGACAAAGAACTGTATGATAAGAAAGTGGGATTCAGCAGTCCTTAAATATGTGAAGATTAAGTGGACAAACCCACATAGGATGAAGTTTTGTTTGTTGTCAGTATAGGTGTGTTTGTTTGTTTATTTAGTTCAAGCTTTTCAGGCCTTCGCATTAGCCACATGGCTCTCTGGACAGTTTACAGCAATTAAAAACCATCAAACAAAACAAATTCAACAACATTAACAAATTCAGTAAAAAATATCAATTTCCGTAAATAAAAGATCCATTCCATTAGCAGGAACACCAGCCGTGTTGACTTCATACAATAGCCAGGTTGAACAACATCTTATATTTAAATAAGAAAATTTTAAAATTCATCAATTAAAATAACAAGCTAAAATTGCTGTGATGCCAACCATTGACAAGAAAAGACAAAGAATAGAATTAATAGCACCTCTATAATTTGAGGTCCAATCTACATATTCAACAAAATGAGGTGATACAATGGATTGCGCCATTCCTGATAATAGTTGGAATCACAGTTTTGAATATTCCACTTGGTTAAAATCTGCTTACAAATAGAAAACTAGTAGAAGAGATAAAAGACTCAGCTAGAACTTTTCTCTTACGTTTATCATTTAGAACAGAACTCCATAATTCTCCTCTAATGTGTATGTATGTAATAGTACTGTCCATTTTACTACCTCAGCATTCTACCTTGCCATTCTCACCTCACTGCTAGGCATGTAGAGCCAGTCTCATTTAGCCATAAACATTGAATAAAAACAATATATGTAAAGTTATTAAATCTTTTCCTTTCAGTGGTCTTGTGAGATACGTTTTTTGTTGTTAGTCGCAAAGTCGTGTCCGACCCATCGCAACCCCATGGACAACATTCCTCCAGGCCTTCCTGTCCTCCACCATCCCCCGGAGTCCATTTAAGCTCACACCAACTGCTTCAGTGATTCCATCTAGCCACCTCATCCTCTGCCGTCCCCTTCTTCTTTTGCCATCTGTTGTTCCCAGCATTAGGCTCTTCTCCAGGGAGTCCTTCCTTCTTATTAGGTGGCCGAAGTATTTGAGTTTCAGGACCGGAAGCCATGATCTTAGTTTTCTTAATGTTGAGTTTCAAGCCAACTTTTGCACTTTCCTCCTTCACCTGCATCAAGAGGCTCTTTAGTTCCTCTTCACTTTCTGCCATTAGAGTGGTGTCATCTGCATATCTGAGGTTGTTGATTTTTCTCCCGTAATTCCAACTGGTGATTCATCTAGGCCCGCCTTTCTCATGATGTGCTCTGCATATAGGTTAAATAGGCAGGGTGACAGTAAACAGCCTTGCCGAACTCCTTTCTCAGTTTGAACCAATCAGTGGTTCCGTGTCCAGTTCTCACTGTTGCTTCTTGACCAGCATATAGGTTTCTCAATAGACAAATAAGATGTCTGGTACTCCTATCTGTTTAAGAACTTGCCACAATTTGTTGTGATCCACACAATCAAAGGCTTTAGCATAGTCAATGAAGCAGAAGTAGATGTTTTTCTGCAGCTCCTTATCTTTCTC